AATTAGCTCTTTTATAGCAGTGATAACATGCAACTTTAACCAAAATATGCTCACAAAGTTTTCTTGCTACAGGTAAGTCACTAAAATAACAGATTACTGCGCATTTGATTCTCTTGCCAGATAGGGACTCAAACGTGGCTAATAGGTCTATCCCTTCTCAAAGTTCCATTAGCTGATCGACAATAGATGCCAAGTAGTGATTTAATTGATGCAGTTTTGGTTCTGATGGCCCAGGTATGATAGCCAATATTATTATATTGAATAGTTTAAACCTTTTACATATAATAAATTAATATTATATTTGATCAACGAATATATAAAAAAAAAAAAAGTATTAAAAACAATAAAATAACGAATGTTAAAAAAAATAAATATAACGAATGTATAAAAAAAAAATAAATATAAATATAACGAATATATAAAATAAAAAAAATATAAAAAAATAACAAATGTACAAAAAAAAATAAAATAATAAAATAAAAATAAAATAAAATAAAATAAAATAAAGTAAAATTATTAAAAATTATTAAAAATTAATAAATAATAATAATAATAATAATAAAAAAAAAATACCTTTCTTGATGTAGAAGATTATGACAGCATATATGACCCCTACGCTATATTGAGAAGTTTCAAAAAGTTGAAATTAATCTAAATTTAGCATCAATCCTATATGGCTATCAGCCATTTTGAAATAAAAAAATGGCATCCCTTCATCATCAGAGAATGATTTCCATATTCTGTCATCATAAATATCTGATAATTGGGCTTTATTTTCAGATTTTGTTTTACTTGTTTTGTTATAATGTCTTTCGGGTTATATAATTTACAACAAGATTTGCATGTAGCGAATCTTGTTGTATCATTAGATATACCAATCATATTTTTTGCTATATTAATTAAAGTAGAAAAACTATAATACTTTTCATTGTTAATATTGGTTAATAAAAACTGAAAATATTTAATAAAACATTAATGCTCGTATCAGAAAGCTGAAATCTTTGTTGGTAATAGAAAATCCATAATATAATTCGCAGCACCTTCTTATCAACATTTCAGACATTGGCCTCAGTGATATCATCAACATCAGGTGTATCAAAATTTATTACATTTTCTTCTTCACTCTCTTCCTCACTCTCTTCCTGAGTTTTATAATCTCTATCACTTCTCATGATATCACTTTCATTGTCTTCATTAGAAAAGAATAACAAATCTTCACCAGAATAAAACAATGCTAATTTTACATTATGAAAACCTTTGGGTAACTACTTAACAAGGAACTGAAGATTTTCAGGCTGTGAAAGAAATGTAAAATTATATGTATCTCTATCCAATGTTTCACCATCCGTTGAACCAATATCCTGATCCATTAAAGCAACTTTACTTATCATATTTGAAGACCCTTCACCATTAGAAGTATCTCCTGTCTAATATCTAACTTGGCGGTTTGATATAATGTAGTTTTCTTTTACTCTAATAGGTTTTTGTTCTTGTGCTTCATGTTCTGCTTTAACTCTTGGATCTCTTTCTTAACCATTGCACATACTACAGAAACATGGCACTTTGCTACGCTTATATTTTTTGTTTGTAATACAGCAGGTTTTTTAACAATTGTTTACTTTTTTTGTAAGTTATAATAAAGGTATAGATATTAAATGACAAAGTAAAGATATTGCAAAAGAGAGAATAACTATTTTAAACAACACCACCTTAGCCTATTTATATTTAGTTTATTAAGCTTAATAGTTTGTACTTTGATACAAATATCTTTTTTTAATATGCATATCAGATTGACGAAATTAATTAAAAGTTTATTTTTTTATTTTATTAACAGCTTTTTCAGTTTCCGAATACTATTCAATATGCATATCAGAATGAAGAAAGAGCAATG